AATAAAAAACAATAAGAAAACCATTCAACTCCAGTCTTTTCTCAGAACAGGGACATCTTTTAAAATGCCCATGATATAACAGGTGCAATTATTCCAGCAAATACAGGAGTGAATGTAAATCTTGATGCCATAACCCATGTCTCGTTAACAAAGAATCCGAAGGGCCAGGCAGCCCCTCACAGCGCTAATACTGCTCCTTCCAGCTCAGCCACAGGAGTTTCTAGGACGAGGAAATGGGCTACTGTCAAGCAAGGGGTGGGAGTTGGCAAGATCTCCCCCCTCCCCGCAAGCGATCTGCTGGACCCAAGCTCTAGGAAGAAAAGCTTTACAAAGAGACTTCAGGCTTCACTAAGACACAGTAAAGAATTAATTATAAAGTAAAGCTGAAGGAGAAAATTAATTTTAGAAACACAAGAGGTTACAATTTTCTTTTCCTGGAGATGGGGGAGGAAACAGTTATTTTCGTTTTCATCCTGGGGGCACAAGCTGGGAGCTGTCCAGTCGATAACCTGGCCATCAGAACAAGGTTTGTAATTAAAAGGTCAGTGACCTGGAAAGCCAGGGCCCCACTCCCAGAGCTTCTCAATAATGACAGAGCTATTAAATTAAGACTGTTATGAAATCAATGCTAAAAAAGCTTTCATGGTAACGAGATTCCATTCAAGGACATGCAAACTACCTCATGAAATGGACATAAATGATAAAAAAAAGAAAAGTAATAAAAGAGAGTTAAATTGAAATCTGTGTAAGAATTTACATCCCCTTAAAATACTCCAGTGAAAGAAGTCCTTCACCTCTACCCCACTACCAAGGTTGAGACCATCAGGTTTCTTCCTCAAGTTCATGTCCAGCAAAAAGGCAGTTTTGCTACTGGGGGTTCCGCTTCCAGGAACAGAAGAAAGATAAGATCTAGTTTCACCTTTCAGGATGAGAAAGTATGGTGGCGTGTTTTATTAGTTTAGTTTTCCTCCTGCCCCTGAGGACTATTTATTAGATGAGGGAGAAAAGAAAGCCCTTTACTTATACACTTAAGAACTGCACAATAAGTGTCAGCCAACACCACCCAGGCCCCGCTATGCAGGTTTATACAGAAAAGCCTATGATGCTCATCTTTTGTCTAGAGGCTCGCTTTGCAACAGATATGTTAGAGTAAATTAACAGACAACTCTATCCCCCACCTGCACCTCCTCTACCTTCTCACCCCCAACGAACGGGCATCACTTTTACCCATCTTATACTCGGCCTGCCAAATGTGTTTGGAAGCAGACTGCCTCCTACATTTTGTGGTTGGATAGGGTGTCAAATCAACATAAGCCTATTGACAACAATTTCCAAGCCTCTACCTTTCTGGGCTGATTCTACTGCTGTTTTAAAGTTACTCTAACCTCCTGGACTGCAGCCTGCTTAAAGCCCCAGATATGATGCCTGCCTGGCAAGAACAGTTTCTATATAGAGACCAGTTCTATGAGGGCTTACGCCCCCACACACAGTCCAATTATCTTCACGTGCGGCTGACTCTGCGGTTGATGTGTCACCTGAAGAATCAAGTCATGGGAAAGAAAACAAAAACATTTATTCTAATACTCTGAAGGTGAACAGCTGCTTTTCTCTTTCATCTAAAAAACTACCGATAGGGCCGGCCCGGTGGCGCATGCTACAGTGCGCCGCTTGGGAAGCGCGGCGGCGCTCCCGCCGAGGGTTCGGATCCCACATACAGACCGGTTCCTGCTCACTGGCTGAGCGAGGCGCGGGAGCGACGCCGGGGGTTGCGATCCCGTTGCTGGTCCCGGTCCAGTGCGGGGGCGACACTGAGGGTTGCGATCCGTTGCCGGACACGGAAAAAGACAAAAGGGAAAAAAAAAAAAACTACCGATAAAAGGAAGAAATGTTGTAAATTACAGAAAATGACAGTGCAAACTTCAAAGAAAATGATAAATGATTCTAATAACTTCATGTTTCTCATTAATGACTCCATATTCAGATTTTAAAGCATCCAAAAGATATCTCAAAACAAAAAACCAAAAATCCAAACAGGAAAGACCTTTGCAAACCAATGCTCTTCCATCCCAATCCCACTCCCCACTAGCCCTCCCCCAGCCCCTCAGCCCCCCAAAATCAGACAGCACAACACTTAACCTGTCTGTAAGAGGCAGGATGCAGCCCCTGCTCCAGGCTGTGGTTTCACAATAAAACAAACTCAGCTGATGTGCCTAAAGTAACCCTCATTTTCCACTGAACTGACATGTACTACAGGGACCTCAATTTCTATATTAAATATTAAATAATATTAAAAGAAAAACAAAATTGGATTTGCCTTTTCAGGAAAGAGATGTTTATTAAAAAAAAGAAAGTCAAGATTATAATTCAAATCAGTGCTCCACTGCAATTCCCTGAAGTGACATTTGCTAGGAAAAGCCAAGACTACAGTTGCTGAGAGCTCTCCCAAAGCCAGTGCTCCAAACCCACCCCTGCAATGATCTGTGGGGAGAACGACAGTGAGGATGCCAGAACCTTGGTCCCTCCCGCCCCCAACGACCAGCGAGCCAATTCTCTTTCCTTCCACCAACTACTGTTAGGGACAGGGAAGATGCTCCCTCTCAAACCCATCAGAGATGGTGCCAAACTATGCTGATCATGTGAGTCTGACCCAAGGAACAGCCAGAAATTTAAAAAGTGAACTTTAAATACGTGAAGGGGCTTTTCTTCCCCAGACACCAATAAAACCTTGGAATTTTCTGCCCAGAAAAGGTCCTGCCAGAACATACTCTCTTGGGATTCAACTCGGAAATGGATAATTACTGACTGAAGCAGCATTTTAGAGCCTAATGGAAATGGGTGATTAAGTGATTCTGGGTTTAAGCACAGGGGTAAATTCGGGGAGTTCTCCTTAGAGGAACAAGGGTAGGGTAGGCTCTCAAGGTTCCAGATGTCTAGAATTCTAAAAACTCTACCCCAAATGAAGGGCCAAGAAGGGATTATGTCTACTCTGCTAACAAATACTCCTCTCCTTCAGTTCTTTGCTCACATTCTACCCTCTCAGAAACCTTCTGACATTTGCCCTGTTTAAAATCCCAGTCCAGCCCACACCAATGCTGGAGCTCCTCATCCCATGTTCCCTGCTTTATTTTTCCCCATGGCACTTGCCATGTGACATATTGTGTATCTCCTTTTTCTGTTGGTTAATTGTCTGCCTTCTCCCCATTAAAATTTAAGCTCTGTGAGGACAGGGATTTTTGTCTGTTCTGTTCAGTGAGGGAGAACAGGCCAGGGCACAGGGTGGACACTTGCTCCCAGACGAATTAATTAATTAATCAACTGGGTTTTTTTAAAAGAGGAACAAATAATAATTGCACAAAACAGTTTCCTCTCTACAGTTATTATTAGCCAAGGAACTCAAAAGAAGTATTATTTCATCCAGTTTCTCTCTCTCTTTTTTTTCTCTCCCTCTCCCAGTCAGGGATTTATTAAAATTAAACAGATTAGATGGAGCTCCTGATACTAAAACTGCTCAGCAAAGTCTGCGGTGGGGAAGTGCCGAGCAAACACCAGAGACATTTGTCTCTAAATTGCTCTAAATACCTTCTGCAAATGAAATTCTAACCCAGCTGCGTTTGAGAGAAAATGAGGACTAACTGGTCATTGTCGGTGGAAGAGAAGATCAGGCAGTTATAATATTGCACAATATACTGGGGCTAAGGATCTCTCGGCAACCATAGATTTTGTCTCAGGTTACCCCGGGTAATCAGCTCAGCTTTTAGGCTCAGCTTTCCCCAGCTTCAGTGCTTTGATGAGAGAGCTGAAATCCCTAAGCTTTTATGATTGATTACTCCCCATAGGTACACATATTTCAAGGAAAAACTCTTTTATGGCATGATGCTTGTGGAGTGGAGAGGCCAGCCAATACACTCCAAATTTTAATAATCTCCTAATGATGGGGGGAGCAGGAGGCGGCCAGCAGGCACACAGCACCCTCACCCACTCTGTCACAGGGACCCAGCCTTGGGGCTGCCACTAAGCAGCTGCCTAGGGATGAAATGTTTAGGCTTATTCTGCCCAAACCCCGTGAGGGAGCCCTGAGACATGATAGGTGAAGGGGCCAACACGATCCCTGCAGCACTACTTCAGTGGGACATCGTGGAACAGACCCGGGTAATCCCACCAAACCACTCCATCTTCTATTCCAGCCAAAAATGCCTAAAAGCTCAAAACCCAACAATTTTAAGGCCAACATTCCAGCTCCTAAAGGGAAAAGAGTTTTGTTTTGCGAGGAAGAAAACTCACTTTTCCCACTTATGGCATATAAGGACCTTTAAACAACTTCCCAGAATTCTAGAAAATTAAATGTACAGAGAATAAAAGGTCGCGGTTTTTTGTTTTCATTTTACAAATAGAAAAAATATCCTAAATTCCAACAGAACCAGAATGGATTCTGTCTCAGACAATATTGAATTTGCCAGGACCCATTTTATCCCTGCTTACAGAAATACCATAAAATCAGTAATCTACCACTTCAATCCGTAAATCAGACTGACCCCAAGCTTGATCTTAACCCGACCTTATTTAGTCATCTCATTTCCCCATCCTTCATTTCTTTCCTCCCCATTCTTTACTGAAGAAGCTGAGCTCCTAACCTAAAGTCAGTCATCCTGCAGCCAGGGTCACTGACAAAAGAACAGACCAGAAAACAGAAGTTCTCCACAGTCTTATCCAAAGGGCCACTTTTGCTATTGAATGCTGCCTTTGCCCTGATGTTCTGGGCTAAGTCCTTTGCCTTATATCTGGTGCTTAATTATCTGAATCATGTGATCTCTCTGCTCTACTGTAAGGAAAGAAACCTGCGTTCCCCACCAGGGACTCATCTCCCCCTACTCCCCCCAAGAGAGGGCAGCTATGGGAGATCCTGAGGTGCTCAACACCTGCTTTCCACACCGTGGCTTCCATCTGCCCCATCCCCAGTCCCTTTCTGCAGGCCACCCTGCATGGCCATGGGGAATCTGTACCTTTCTTCTTGAGGAATGATCTCCTGGTTGCAAGTGGGCTCTGGCGGACCCGGGAATTCTGTAGAAACTTCACTGCTGTGGCAATCTGGTGGGAGAGATAAAACAGAGAAGAAAAGTAAACTTCAGTAGACTGAATTTCAAGATTAAAAATCCTATGAGTTTTTCCCAGGGCCATAGAAATGAGCATACCACTGCAGTCAAATTTATAACTCGGTATTCCTTCAATTTAAACTCTACCTAACTAAAAGACTATCATTTCCCTGACTTTGTTGGCTGCCCGTATCTATCACATTGAATCTCCTGAGCCTAGATTTTCCGACCTGCAATGACCCTTTCCTGTTCTCCCCTGCTCCGGCTGATCCTTCACCCCTCGGCAGGGACAGACAGCCATGCTCATCCATGTCACCACCCTTGTGCCATGTCTGCCCTCTTTCTGGAAGACCTCACTTTCCCACCTCTAACTGTCTAAAAATTAATACACAGACACCAGCACAGCCCTTTTATAGCCTGTTCTGATTCCTTGAAGCCTTCTCTAAATGAGCAAGCCACTTCTAATCTCCCTATTCTCTTAAAGTCTTCCATGCTTGTAGTGTGTACCATGTAAGTGAAGACATCATTACACCATCTTCTAATGTTCAGGCTGCCTCCCCAACTACACTGCAGGCAACCGAGGGGAAGAGACCGTGCTGCCTGTACAGAGCCTGGCGAAGCACTGCACATCCCGGAAGGAAGGGATTATGTAGGAGCCAACACCCATGGCCACTCACACCGGCCCCTCTCATGCAATGGAGAGGAATTCTGAACGGCCTTCAAAGGGCAAAGTTTGGAGTTTCAGGGCTAAAAGCTGACAGATTGACAGATTATCTTCCTACCTCTCGTAATGAATATTATTTAATGAAATCTTCATATCTACAAATAAGCCAAGTAGGGAACGGAAGGAAAACTGTGGCGGGCATTAACCTTCCCATCACTCAGCTCGCACAAAGCGTGTGTTTACATGCCACTGTCTGCTCTACATCCCAGACACTGGTCCTCCAGGCAGGAAACACCAACCTGCCCCAGGTAATAAGGGGGCCACTTTAAATGACTGCCACTACTGACCTCATCAAAACCAAAAGAATCATATGGTCTCACGTTACAGGTCAAGTCAACAGGCCACGCAATTCACTCATAAACTGTCAAAAGAAAAAAATTCTAAAGGGCCAGATGTAAGGAAATTTTCTAAGATCCTTCAAACTAAAGGTAGCAGTTGTAAAACAGATTCAAACAGAAAGTACTGTGACTATAAATGAAACACAAGTCACAAATTGTCTCCTTCCCCATGTTTTATATGAGTTTAATCCTGAGACCAGACAGACTTCTCAGGAACAAAAGATATGAGGATAAACCAGGATTAAAAAAAAAAAAAAAAAAAAAAGCCAGGGAAACTCCCTTATTTATTTCCCCTGTACCCCTTCTCTGGGAGGCTAGACATTCTCCCTGAAGGATAAACTCTCTGTCCCGACTTTTCAGATCTGAGCCTGTCTCTAATAAAACATGCTAATGTTCCTTGAGAGCCAAGCCCAGCTCGCTATGGGTTATGATCTGTCCTCCAATACTGCAAATAGCATTAACCACCATCATGAACTGCAGTGATAACCAACCAGCTCTGGACTAAAGAGGAATCAATGCTTGAGATCTAGAACCTCAAAGCAGCATACTCCCCGCCTTAGCCCCTCAACCCGATCTCCTCAGGCTGTACCAAAGTCAAAAAAATTTAACAAAATCTACAACAAGAGGAAGGAAAGAAGGAAGAGAAAAAAAGAAGAGGGAATGAGTAGAAGATGGAACAGGAGGGGAGAAGAAGATAGGGCAAGAGGAGCCATAAGTAGGGGGAGGAAAGGGGAGAAGTGGAAAAGGAAGGAGAAAAACAAAAGGGAGAGAGGCTCGTGCCCTGGAAAGAGAATGGACGGGTACAAAATCGCAGACCCCAAGGGTCACCACCAATCCGTACAGCTCAGATGGCTCAGGGATAATTGTTCTTCACCTGGAGGAAAAAATACACCTTCAACACACAAGAAAATTATGGTACTCGTATCATACGGCAGCCTCTGCATGCTGTGATACGTGTACCAGGTGTCAGAGGAAATGTGGATAACAGGTCTTAAGCAGTAGATGCTAATAGCACAGCTCCTATCATTTACCTGTAGAAACAGAAACCTTTCCTTCATCTTTCCAAAATTTTCCATGACAGAGAAAGAAAACAAACTCCCACCACTAAAACGCACAGGTTTCACCTTGCTTTTTTAATACAGTCCTTGGTATATGCATTTCTGGTCAGAGAGCAAAGTTCTGATGGGTTTAATGGTGCACTCAATGCAGTGCTTGGTGCATTCCATCAATTTTTTTTTAAAAATTGCATCTCTTATTTCTTTAAATACATTAATCAGCCTAGTGTAGGCAAAACGGATCCATCGGACAATGCAATAAACATGAATTATCATCTATCCAACACGCATAATGGCTTAAAAATACATAATAGCAGGTGTAGTTTAAATGATTAGTTATTACACCTGTGGTGGGTCTGATTCAATTGGGAAAAATCATCTTTAATAGGTTAAAAGGTTTAGATCACCATGCTTTCCTTAAAGTGGCTGCAGAGAGGGAATGATGGAGTGCTCTGTCATTAGTAATTCATTTAAGGAAAACGTGGGGGATACAGCAAAGAACAGCATAAACGAGCGAATCCAATTTAAACATCAGGTAAAGTAGAAAACACCTTTTAAAAAAGCAAGATAAATGAATTTGGAAGGGAGATGAAATTGACGTATTTATTTTAACGGGAATTTGACAAAGTCCCGGTACACTTCAAACTTGCAAAAATATGAACAATTTCTTTTAAAGTTTCCATTCGCTAATTTCAAGTCATATAAAATAATACTGCCAAACGCCTACATAAAGTATATTTGGGGCTTCTTTATGTTCCTCTTGATCTTTGTCTGAAAATGCAGGTGACAGGCAAATCACATATTTAACAGCATCGATATCACTACGTCAGATGCAAAAATATAAAGCACCCAAACTAATAGCCTCAACCTAATGTGCTGAATAAGAAAGATACCCAGATAAGCAGCTACATGTAAGTGTGAACATAAGAAAACCTCTCTCTTCCCTTCACTAATTATTTCTTTGGCCACTCTTTACTCTTTTCCTCCCTCCCCACGAGGAACTGGCACTGCAGTGGGGGGCTGTCCAATCTAGACTTTTATAGCCCTATGATTCATACATTGATGGTAAAAGATTTCCCAAAACTCCCTACCCATAATGCGAAGATCTTCACACACTAAATAACTGACAGGATGCTCAGTTGGTGCCTCTCGCCCGCCTATTGTTGGACACTTTTCATTAACTTCATGAAGCAATTCAACTGACTTTCCTCTGCAGAGGTCCAACACACACAACACGCTTTTGTTGCATTCAGTGATGGGGTTTCTGCAGCCTGTCCTGTATTGTCGTTTGATTTTCTAATTAGAAGATGAATGTGACTATTCATGGGTTATATTTGTGCCCAACTAAATTACATAAATTCAGGCCAAATCTTCCGCCTCAATGTCAAAGATGTAAAACGGAGACAGGAACTTTATTGCACATGTTGTGGGAGTGCAACAAGCCAGGGAAAATTCTGGTGCAAAGCTCCTGATGCCGTTGTCGAAGTCACTTGCTGTTGAGTTCATGATAAATATGGAATCGGTTTTCCTTTCCCCTCCTCTTTCACTGATAGAGTTCTTAATGAGTGCATGCACCTCGAATTACCAGTAGCTAGTTTAATAAAAGTAACGAGGATGAACTCAGAAGAAAACAGGGCAAAGTTTCTCAACCCCCTAATCACTCTGACCCTATCTTCCCATACTCCCCTAAGGAAAATGAAACAACCCTGCCTCCAATAACTCCATTTTTGGGAAATTTGATAATTTTCACTGTTTATCACTTAAAGCTAGAGGTAAAACTGAGGTGCAAAGAGGAGGAGTAAATTCTTGTCTTGGCAGACTTGTAACAGTGGTTAAGCTAGAGTCACTGCCAGCAACTCAGAAAAAAGGGGGGGACTTCAGATTGAAAAACACCTTTTTATCCAAGATGATTGGCCAATTGAGAGAGATTTGTGTTTGAGAGACCAGGATTTGTAACTGTATAAATCAATGGAATACAGTATACTCAGGGGTTATCTACTATGAACTATGCACTGTTAAATGCATTGTGTAGGGTAAGTAATCCCTGGTGAGAAGAATCGAGGTTCCTGACAGTCCTCACTGAAGAGATGCTTCCTATGTGCCTTCCACCCTCCTACAAAAGACCTGCACATTGTAATCTTCAGAAGGCACACTTTATTCCTGCACAAGGGGGACAGGAAGACAGAGCCTGCCTAATAATGAACCTGGGGTTTTGAGGGAGCCTCAGCACTTTACACCTGACATGTAAACCTGATGCATTGTCTCTAGTGACACTTATTTGGAATGCCACCAATTCCAGCAGTCCTGTGTACTACATTCACATCTATCTCCTAAAATGTGAGCATTCTTTAGCCATTTTAAACTATTAAAAATATTCAAAAATTAATGTTGCTAACGACCAAAGTCAAGACCTTTTTAACACAGAGAGATCACAACTAGAGGGCAAAAGAAAATGACCCATATGCAGGCCTGAAACCCCATTCCAGCACCGCACTGCTACACATGCACTGCTCAGGAGATTAAATTGTCTGTGAAAGGTTCCTCCGCTCCTACTCTAAAGTAGATACCCAGAATCCTGTTAACAAGCGTTAGACCAAGGCCAACTCGAGTTTTAACAAGAACTGACTTTAAATGCCGGGCACTGCCAAGAATGGGAGAACTCTCTTCAAACAGAAATGCTGCATTTTAGTAAGAAATCAGTACTCTGTCAGGAGTTCTTTGACAAATATGGTCATCGGTGGCACAAGGAAATAGTTGCAAAGCAGCTGTTAATCAGAGAAACACATCGTAGAACGCTGATGCTAGCACTCATGAAAAAATGCAACGGGCTAATTATGAAGCTATATATCTCACTAAAGAGGCTGTGTTCCTTGAGATT